GGTCTCCACTTGGACAAACGACTGATATGGACATACCACATAAAAGAAATAAGAAAAGAACTTGATCAGCGATACGGACTTCCTTCCAGGCTACTTGACAGACGTTCTAAATTATCTGTGACTAATAAATTAACTATTCACGAAGTCCTCATTAAACCACTTTGGACATATGGAATCGAACTATGGGGAACAGCAAAGAAATCAAACATAAAAATCATCCAGTCATTCCAGTCCAAAGTCCTTCGGAAAATTATAGACGCGCCCTTTTATGTTTCAAACCTCACGTTACACACTGACCTTAACACTCATTTTATTACGGCAACTGCCACTGACCGCTTTAATAATTTCCGTGACAGACTGACTCTAAATTCAAATCCACTTACTCAGGCTCTATCGACTGCTACAAATCCATATAATCCGCCCAGAAGACTGCCCAAGAGACATATTGAATTTAGCGACTTGCTGTATCATATTGTGTTATTATGTATGTGTTATTTTACTACTGTTTTTTTATTTTTTTTGTTATTGCTATTTTTTTTTTTTATGCTATCACTTATTCTCCTTGATATCATATTTGCTGAATACCGAAGTAGATGACAAATTTATTGTAAGCCAGGAATATTTGTAACTAATAAATATAAAATAAAGGTACCACCTATCAGATTCTGCCGACATCAAAAGAAATGCATAAATTCTTAGATTACTCGTTAACCTTTTACAGGCCACCCCCTAAAACCAGTAGATTTTTTTTCTGTGATATTAGGTTCAACATGGTTCAGTTTAGATAGATCCTAAAAAAAAATGCTTTGTGCTTTTCCAACTTGCTTCAGATGAGAAACAATGGCAGATTCAGTTTATAAAAAGAAAAACAAAGAACTTTTTTGTAATAGTTTTATTAGAATATTCTATACAAGAATATGATTGTTTTTTCTAATATTGATAAAAAAAATATTATTATATTACAGTAAAATATTATGGTTGTTTGTATAATTATAGAAAATGCGTATGTAAGAATATAGAATAAAAAAAAAATTGTTATATTGGGGAAAAATGAATGCGTTTCTGGCATTCTTTGCATCGATAGTTTGTGTTGGTGCCGCAATGAAGACATCTCGCTTGGGAAGCCGAAATAATATAATATCCACCTGTCTTAAGCCTGGAGGGATGGAGTTCTTCGTCCATGTCCGCGGACTATCTTTCCGTGGTAAAGACCGCATTGGCGCCATAGTCACCGAAGATACCTATTTATTACGAATTATCATCAATATTTTTTTTTAAATGAATAACTGCCGGTGTTCCTCAAGGTAGTATCCTAGGTCCTATCCTCTACACAGTTTATACAGCTGACATCCCAACCCAATCCAACACTGTCATCACCACCTATGCCGATGACACGTGTATGCTATCAGTTAATAACGATCCTTTAATTGCATCCCAAACTCTTCAATCACATATCACAAGCCTTGAAGAATGGTGTAAAAATTGGAGAATAAAAATAAATTCCAACAAATCCCATCAAATCACCTTTACCCTCCGTCGTAAACCTATGACCTCTTGTCCTACAGTATCCTTCAATAATACTCCACTTATTCCTGTTGAGCAAATCCGCTACTTAGGACTCCACCTTGACAAACGACTCACTTGGAACCCCCATACCAGACTGAAACGACTAGAAACCGCCCGACGTTTTCGACTACTGCAGCACTTACTAGACAAATGATCTAAGCTTTCAATCAATTATAAACGACTCTATATGACAATAATAAGACCTATTTGGACTTACGGAATTGAGCTTTGGGGCTCCACTAAACCATCGAATTCCTCTCGTATCCAATCCTTACAATCCAAAATCCTTCGTAAAATTCTCAACGCTCTTTACTTTGTCATAAATAAAATCATCCATAAAGACCTTAATGTTCCATATGTTTCCGATCTGGCCCCAATCCAGATACCTTTCCTTCCATAACAAACTGCAGAACCATCTGAATCCTCTCGTTTCAAACCTTGCTTCCTCCTCGATCCCTGATAACCCTCCGAGGCGTCTGAAAAGAAGATCTTCTTTTCAGAAGCCCTCGGGATCTTCTAATATAGAACTTTAATTTGAGTTCTACCAATGGGTAGTTTCTCTTCATGTTGTACATGCCATGTTACAAATTTCTCATTTACTTATTGTATTCTCTATGTACTACAGTTGTAAATTCCATTAAAATAATAAAAAAAAATAAAAATAAATAAATAAACGCAACTTTCCCACAAAAATTTTTGGGAATGAATGGCTCCAAGCAATTCTCGTCAATGTCTTCGTCTGTTAGGCTTTCTTTTTCGTCAGGAGGAAGCTGCCATATATTAATTTCTTGATCAGAACTATTTCTCGATTCACCGTCACTCAAAGATTTTAAATAATTCAAATATTCCATTTCTTCCACGGTACGAAATATTTTTTTCATTTCTAGTTATTGATGAAAAAAAGAATATATATCACGAATAAAATACATAATTATTATAAAATGTGAATAAGAAACGCGATTGAGTCACGACAAGAAGTAAGTCTCAGTCACAGTAATGACTGAGAAAACTAAACCAAGGGACGTTTGGCGTAGTATTCCCAATAATATATGTTCTAAGAAACTAAAAAAAAAAAAAAACGCAGTTTTTCACTATCGTGAGGGAATTAACAAAAAATTGAAAATCTTAGAATAGCAATTGGTAGTTCTATGAATTTTCGTAGTCAGCTTGGTACTAAAACAAGGTAAGGAACAATGAATAGAACGGAAATTTCTATAGTGTAAACCTGCCATTTTTCCAGATGTGGAACATTAAAATTATTAAAACTGATTCTGAGAATTTTTTCATTTACAGTTTCTACAATGCATTATTTTCAGTGATCTATCACAATCAATTAAATCATTGTTCAAATGAAATTTCATTGCTGTTTCTAAAAAAAATGAAAAAAAAAACATAATCAATACACTTCTTGACACTAAAAAATCAGGAAATTTACGTTTTTATTCATCAAACAAAAAGTGATATACTCTTTATTTAACAAATTAAAAACAATTATTACAACCTTTGTTTTAATGAGAAAAAAATGTTGTTTTTTTTCAAAAAAATAACGATTAAGTTATCCCTAAAGAATTGTTTAATATATGTTGCGCTTCTGGAGCAATAGAATGTAAAAGGTTAATATGAAAACCATATGACAAGAAAATTCTTTAATTTTTTTTTTAAGGAATTATTCTTAATTGATATATATTACAATTTGTCACATTTAAGGACAATAGTAATATTGATAAAGAGTACCTCAATCACACTATGTACAATAAATAAACAGCAAAGTAATAATAATAAAAGTAAATGTAAATAAACTAAAAGAAACTAAACTAATCAAAATAACTACTTAAATACACACATGCTTCTATAACTTTTCTTTTTTTAAACTTTTTGAAATTCCGTTGCTGATATGAGAAAAATGGTCTTTCATGGATTTTATGACATATTCTCTGTGATAAATGTAATTGAAAAGTATGAATGCAGAAATAAAATATAGCCTCTAACAACAACTGCAAATAAATAAAGAATTCTACAAACGATAAATGAAAACTGAGCAAATAACACTGGTGATAAAGTACTTCATGATCCTACACCACTGCCAGCTGGATCAGTACCAACTATCTTCACTACGAACCAATACCGAAGATAAATCAAGGAACCAGTGAATGGATGGCAATCGGTCCGAGTTGGCGAACTGCTTGTTAGTTCCAAGTTGGAGAATAACTAGTTTTTCAAATAGAGTCCAGGATGTGAATAACAACTGTTGGTATACTTCATATGATCAAAATTAATAAAACTGAAAAACGCGATGAATGAAATTAAAATTATTATGAATAAATCATCACATAATTTACAACAATAATATGTGTATTTTAAAATTTTGCCAAAAATGCGTTTAACAAACATAAAAATGTTGTTTGGTGTGACCTTCTCAGAAAATATTTAGAATTCCGATTTCTGTTTATTTTTATTTTATTGCCACACTTAAGACTCCTACACACAGACTACGATATGTCTTGGCGATACAATATTGCTGTCGTAGGGAATATGGTGATACAGTTCTGTTCTATATATTGCTTATTAGCGATCATAGAGAGCGCGATAGTTAGCAGTGGTACCGAAAGAGGGAATATATCGCGTTCAGAGTTCTATAAGACCCTTTATGATAGTACATCATATGTGATATATGATACACTATTGTAAAGTAATAAAAGGAGATATTAATTAAGATAATAGAACTCATTAAAACCGTAAAATAGTCACACTCTTAAAAACGTCCGAACAACTCAAGAAACATTCGCTGTTTTCGTCATGAACTGCCTTTAACAATTTTATTGTGAGATGCGAATTTGAGATTTTCTGATGTAAACATAACGTTCTTGACATTGTAAATTCATATTTTTTTTTTTCGCCTCTTAAATATTCTTAGTTATTTTTTTTAATTACAGGCTTTCGCAACATGATTTTTGATACGCAAAGTGTGCTTTGAAATTAAAGTGATCATCCTGGGGCAAACTTCTTTAAAGTAGAAACTCTTAATTAAATAATTAATTAAGGGTAGAAACCTGATCTCGGCCGAATCAATTTTTTGCACAACTTTTGACCTAGAAACAGTATTTTCTTAAATAGTACTGAACCTAGAATATGAGTTGTAGTCGTACAAGTTTTTGGATCTTTTGGGACTGATATTACAATGCGTCTCTTTACATAGAAAAGCTGATATGACTTGAATTAGAACCATTTATTTTCATAAAATCAATACTGAATTTATTTATTATTTCCAATTCTTCACTTATCTTATTCGTAGCTGAAAATTAAACTTTGAGATAAGTTGAAGAGCACTGTCGAACGAGAAAAGTGAAGAACTTCTGTATTCCCATGATAATTCTCAACAGTGCCCCAAATCGCGGAATCATGTCCTCTCACGTCCCATATGCGCTATCACAGATCTAGAGCACAACCACCCTTGGGATCACGGAGGCGGGGAAAGTGGCTTGCAACATCTCGCGCGATTTAGAAGGCACTGGAGGCGGTGGCGGGAAATAATGTACCCGCGGGAGTCGGTAAGGAGTATCATCCTGGGACTTGGCATGTTCCAGTCCGATCCACTTATCCTAGCAAGTTTTATTCTTTCACATAAAAGCAAGAAGTTCGGCTGAATTATGTAAATGATGGAGCGAGGAGTTTTTTTTTTTTCGTGTTTGCGGTTTGTATTGGACGTTATATTCACCTTTCTACTCTGTAGGATAATTATTTTGACATTTTTATTGTATTAATTAATAATTTTCGCTAATAATTTAAGTGATTGATAGAAACTAAAACTAAAAATAAGTTACAAATTTTACTTTTATATACCTTTGCGGCTTATCAGAAGGTAAGTAACGCACAACGTTTAAATCCTATTTTTGTACTTCACGACTTATTGAACAATCCATTACTTTTTTCTAAGTAGGATGTTACAGTTTATCAAAACTTAGGTCTATTATTACAGTTTGAAAATAATTAACGAACTATATTGTAGAACAGTCAAAGGCAATTTTATTAATATATTTATTGATATTGTGTTTTTTTTAATATTCAATTAATTTCTCTTTATTTTTATTTTATCTAATCACTTATTCATTATTTTTCAACATTATTTGCCAATGTAATTTTTTTTTTATTATTTTATCATCATGATTTTTTTTTTTTGGAGAATCTTCGAATCAATTTAAATAAAATAAAATTTGATGAGAAAAAAATAATAAAATTGAGACTTCAATGAAGAAATTATATAACGTATATATTCCGTTGTTTATTCAATAATTATATCTATGTTGTTTAATTATTATAATTATTACTAGAGAGAGAATCACTTTATTATCATAAAATAAAATAAAATGGTGCTGCCCAATTACATTGGGTTGCTAACAACACAGCATACTTATTAATCACTACAGACATTATTTAAAATTATTATACAATTATAGGATTAACAATATGTATGAGCATAGTATACAATATTTTATACGTATATATATATATATATATATATATATATTTACCTTTTTTTTTTTTTTTTTTTATAATTTTTACTATTTCTTTCATTCATTTATTATCATTCTGTACCCTTTCTCTTCCTTCTCTCCCTCTATACATGTTCCCACTCACATTCTCTCCTCTCTCTTTCTAACCTAATACATAAAAAATTCATAAAGTACAGTGGACGTGTTCAATAAATAATAATATAAAAAATTATAACTTAAGTGGTATCTAACGAAAATCCAAATAACTAATCATATGCCTCCACAATCTGATTTATTTTGTTGTTTAAGTGTTTTAATTAAAAATATAATGTGTAGCTTAGATTTTTATTATAATCAATAATCATTTTAGAGAATCAGAAGCATTATTTAAAAATATTATAAAATAATTCAATGGTAGAATAAAAAATTAGTATTTATCAAAATACAACGTTGAAATAAATTAAATAGTTGAACTCAATTGAACATGTTTAGATTAATTTATTTTATATCCTAGATTGTTATATCAGATATTTACAACATTTAAGAAATATAATTATATTTAGATAGATAATTTATTTATTTCAGATAACGGTTTATTTTTTGTAAAATTTGCCTTAATTTGAACTGCAGGGTGTTGTACTTAATGTAAATATTAATATTATATTTGGTGAAAATTATAAACATGACACATTTGAAGTCGTTGGAATTTCAAGAAAATTAAAATTATAACTAAAAGAAAACAATAAAAACAAAACGTTTTAAATAGATGCATATTTATGAAAAATATTCGCTAAACAAGAAGAACACAGAATGAATCTTGTTTTTCAATTAATTATTACAGAACTCAAAGATACACCTTTTATTAAGAGTCTTTGGAATTAAAGAGCCTACGGGCTTATGACTTATATGATTAACTTAAACATTTTCATAAATATATATTTCATATTTGCAAAAGATTTTGGGTTTACAACAATCTTAACCTTCGAGAAGGTATATAGATATGGATGAAGCTAAGTGGTTTGTACAAATTATGTAATGGTTTAGGATGATCAGTTAAGGGAAACATGTGTTGATGAAAATCAGATGAAATTGAAAAGCCTTAGTCTTCCCTTTTTATACTTCATTCATCGCGATACAACAGTTAATGAATGAAGTGCTAGAGAGGGGAGGGGGAGGGAGAAAGAAAGGGCACAATTGAACAGCTGACCGTACTACCGCGGGTGAAAGTTCGGAGAGAGGTTCGCATATCATCAACTGTAGTGTCCTTGTTTCCAGTCTGGAACCACGCTAGTCCATTAGCATACTGGACAATTCCATCAGAGGCATTAGGTCTGTAAACTCCAGCGTTTCCTAGCCGTCTCTTAAGAATTACTAGAGAATGGCTGTCGACAGGAATGGTTCCATATTTCTGGCAAATGCCAGAATTGTATAAATAATATTGTCTAAAGTTCAGTCCAGACTCCAAAACAATAATGCGCAGTACAGACCCCTTTTTTATAAAATTAAATTTTTAACATCCGTCTAAAACTTCTTGAATGCCTTCCTTCGTCTTCTGGAAAGTTTCATTCCTTCATTTACGAAAATTCTCGAAAATTGGGCTTTTTCAATATGGGCACACAATGCCTATTTAATAAGGTGCTAAAAACTCACGAATACCAGTTCGCTCTTAACTTGAATCGTAAGATAATTTGATTACAAAAAGGCGCCCTACAAAAACATTGGGCCGTTTGGCGCCCTAAGTATAGGTCAAAGGCCCAAAAATTTTTGCAGGCCGACTTTTTTCTCGAGTTTGTAATAATTTTTGTCGTGCGATTCAAGCAAATGGGTATTCATGAGTTTTTAGTACTTCATTAAATTAATTGATTTAAAACAACCGATTTATCAGAATTTTCTTAGATAAAAAGTTTTAGGTTACGATAATATTACAGCTTTATCTTATATAAAACAAGAAGTAAAAAGCTACACGCATTCCTATATTTTAATGTTGGTTGAAAAATATAAATTTGAAAATATTTTACTTTAAAATGACAATAGAGTTTTAAATTTATAAGCTTATACAGTTACTAAAGAGTAACACATTAACAATTAATTGATTTCTCCGACTTTCTCAATTTACGAAATTTCATGTGATAAGAGGTTATAAAGTAATTTTTTAAAAATAATTATACGTTTTTAAGTGTAAATATTCCATATTTATCTAATATTCCGAACGTGTATGATACATGTATTTTATTTAAGAAATTATTGTAATTAAAAGTATGAATGTTTTTCTTTTTAATCTTTTCTTCATCTTTTATCTATTTATTTCTTTTACTTATAATATATTTAATTATTGTTTTTATGTAAGAATGCTTTTGTTGTTAATCTTTTCTTTTTTTTATCTATTTATTTTTTTAACTTATAATTTATTTAATTTTGCTACGAATTTCTGTATTTTATTTAATTTTAACTCTAAGTTACATTGCCTTGATTTATTATAGTTTTTGCCTTTGTCATATAGATGTATATTTTTTTTAAATTTATTTATTTTATTTTTTTATTATATTGTATATATGGTAGGAATGTGCCTCACTTAGCTTTAGTACTCAGTGCCCTTAAGTGTGGCAAAATGTTTCATTTCTCAATAAAACGATATAAAAAAAAATTTAAGAAATGGTGACATTTATACGTTACGAACCTCATATAAGAAAAAATGAGGACCGGTAAGTAAATTATTTAAAAAACGTCATATTTTTGTTTTCATTCATTTATTTTTTTTGACAACAAAGGAAAAGGTCAGGACCATTGCTGGAACACTAAGATTTCCTAAATAAATTTTATTTCCATTTTTCTTTACGGCTGCTCTGAAGGAATAGCACGCCTAATCAATACATAAACAACAAAGGGCTTATTGAACTTTTTTAATAACTCAGCAGGAATGAAAACTTGATTTTCCTTCTTAATTAAGTTTGTCCACGATTCAAAACGAGAGAAAGAAAGAGAAAGGGAAAAAAAAAAGAAAGAGAGAGGAATTTCATTTTCTCTGAACAAATATTTTCCTAATTGTCGTTCATTCGGCTTAATCATCGGGTCTCAAAGAGAGCAAATGCGATTGGAAAAGCCGATTCACAAAAGGGCGCAGTTTTCCTGAGTTTCCCTTCGGCATTTCCTCCGGAAGGTCGGAGAACAATTAATCGACTTAAACAAAACCCTCGAGAGCCGAAGATAGCGGGTAAAGCCAATCCTATCAAACCTTCCCTTTAGTTTAATTAAATCACAAACCTTCCTTTTTCGGAGTTTTGTTAGTCCATCCTTCTACGGTCGGATTCTTTTATTGTAACGATCAGGCTGTGTTATTTTTGTTCGGATCGGTGGAATCAGCAGAACAAATCTTGGGAAATAAACGATTCCTATTCTCTTCATATTAAGTAAATGTATGCTACCAATATGTAATGTAAATTCTTCGCTTATTTCGTTTTATTCGGCTGTAAAAAAAACAACAAGATTTCGAAAAAAATTCAGTTCGATTCGATGTTTTGACGAATCCCGCGAGGATGTAATGGGACAAAAAAAAAAATGATTTATTCATTCTATACTGAGCAAGAAACACAATGAGAACGGCGAATGAGATATTCAACGAAGTAGCGGTTTAAAACAACATTTTAAATTTGCTTTCCCATAAAATTAGCTTTACCCTTCGTCCTAAACCTATGACTTTGTGCCTTACATCCCTTAACAATATCCCACTTATTCCTGTTAAACAAATCAGATGCCTAGGATTCCATCTGTAAATACGTAACTAAAAACTTTAAAAAGTCGGTAAATAATCATACAGACGTGGATAATATGAATACATTTTAAGCGAATTCAATTGAAAAAATCAAAATTTGAAATGAATAGCTAATATTACTTAAAATAGGTCGGCATATAATATTGGGAAATATCATTGTATGTGTTTATCAAAACAGTCTCCCCGCCACTCCTATAAGAATAACCAGTCACTGAATATAAATGAGACCGACGACATGGGGGTGACACATGATAAGGTAATTTTAACATATATGAATATTTTAATAAGGAAGAATTGTTTAATAAAGATGTGATAAAATAATTAAAGGTGGACATGACAAGGGTAAAACATTTTATTATGAGTAGGCGCATGCAATTCGCATAAGTGAAATGAACAGGTACATGATGGGTAATTATGTATATAAAAATCCTTTTACATATGATTGTAAACGTTCAATTTTCTACAAAAAAAAAAACTCATTTACACTACCATCATCAGGCCCATTTAGATATGTGGAATTGATTTTTGGGGCTCCACAAAAACATCGAATTCTTCCAGTACCCAATCTTTAAAATCCAAAATCCTAAGTACTTCTTATCATGTCACAAATATAATTATCAATAAAAATCTTAATATTCCTCTTGATGAAGACTTGGCCTGAATTATATATTCCTCTTTTAATTCCAAACTCTTTGGTCACCCCAATCCTCTCGGTCACAACCGTTCGTCTAATAAAATTCCTAACAGCCCTCCGAGGCGTCTGAAAAAAAGATGGCCATCGGGCCATGGGAGCTAATAAATTAATCTAATCTTTGAGAAACTCACTTATCATCCAAATCCTGTAGCACAATCCCTATCTAGCTGCAGTCATCCCTACAATCCTCCCCGGAGGTTAAAACGGCAGTGGCCCCGCTACTTTTTGTAAATATGTATATATTGGAGTACTGGCAATGGCCAGATTCTCCACTCAAGACATGAGCGTCTGTTGCTATGGTGCCCTCCATCAGTTTCCACTGGTTTCCAATAACAGTGACGCGGCTGAGAGAGAATCACTGGGATCTCCTTGAGTTCTGCCTTGGCTTCCACGTCGAGGAATAAGGCATGACTCAGAGTCACCTGGGTGAATGTAAATATTGTACATAGGTGTGAATGTGATTTATTTACTCTAATTTCATCTAGCTTTTATCTATTATTTCATTAATTTTTTTGAACACAGCCATACCAATTTACTTATTTTATTTTTTTTTATATTTCTTTTTCTTTATTATTTATATTAATTGTATGTACATATTGTGTGAATAAATCATGTAGCCTTAATATTAATGCCCTTCAAAGCGGCAGAATGTATTAATATTCAATAAAGAAAGTAAAAAAAAAAAAAATAAATAATCTTTGAAGTGTTACCAATGAGTAGCATCTTCAAAAGAACTTATCATGTTATTTATTCCCATAGCAGATTTACTTATTGTATGTATGTATACAGTTGTACATTTCAATAAAAATTTTTTTAATTAATAGGTCTACATACTGTCATAAAAATTCTAAACAATACGACTTGATTTTAACAATTTTACAAGAGGTTAAAAGAAACTGCTTAATTTCTTTGCGAAAATCCTCCTTATAATTTATAGGGTTAAAGTTTTAAAAGATCATGGTATAAAAACTTTGGCATGAGGCTTAATACAATAAAGAAAGTTTCTTATGCCTAAAATCTAATCACCAACCTGACGAAATGATGTCATATTTTTGAGTCGGCGTTTTCGCTTTATAAATTAGATTTTTCATCTACCTGATAAATTCGTTTTTTTTGTTTTTATAATAAATCACTTACTCTTTTCTACCTCTGCCGTCTCAGAATATATCCTCGGTGGCGTCAGTGCCAGGATATCAGTGGTCATCAGTATGCTCCGTTGGCCCAACTACGATAGCGAGCAATTGATTGCCTTATCGCCATTCACGGGCCAAGGGTTTTCCGGTCCCATCACTTGGATGACCCTCGGGTCTTGGAAAGATCTAGAAAATGGGAGATAGGGAAATAAATGGCTATAACATGAGTCCTTTCGAAGTCAAGAAAAAATGTTCACGGAAACATTAAAAACAACTCAAGAAATATAGTTGCTATTTACAATAAGGCCATTCCATAAGGGGGGACTTTTATCATATTTTTTTATTGTTTGTTGTTTGAATTAATGTAAAGTAAAATACCAAATTTAGGATTTTTCGGACTTACGGAAAATATTAAAAAAGTACTATTTTAAATGAGTTTGGGTTATTCCTAAAAAAATATTTGCGCTAGAAGGCTGGAACGTGTGTCATCTTTTCAGTTTTTTATGTCATTTCTTTTGACATTCTAAAAATATAATATTATTAAAAAAAAATACTAAAATCTCTTATTGGAATTCATGCATATATATTTTTATTTAAATAGTACTTCTAACTTGAATCTAATTTTTTTTTTCTCATTACATTAATTATATAATATTTTACGTTTGGGAATATTTTTCTTCAGTACTAACAGTTTCAATTACTATATACGATTATTGATGATTTGACAGACTTATAATATTTATTCATAAGCTCTAAGGGAGATGTTTTGTAATTAGGTTATTAAAATCTAAAGAGTTTTTCACTCCTATAAATTTATTGTATTAATTTATCTGTGAGCGTCTAAGATGTTTATTTACTTTAATTTTATTAATAATATTATTTATATGTTCTTCTCTCATTATGATATTTTTTTTGTTCTTATTTCGCTGTATATTATTTTGAAATTACCTTATTTATTTTTTGATTTTGTAAATATGGTGTGAATGTGCTCTCTGAACTCTAATATAAGTGTCCTTTATTGAGACAGATTGTAATATTTATCAATAAACAAGTAATAAAAAAAAATGTATCTGTGAAGTTTAGGGATTAATTTTATTCCAACATCAGACTATTTCATTATCTTTGCTTCATCTCAATTTATCATAAGACTTGTCTTATTTTTATTTTAAAAATGACAAGTCTTATGATAAATCCAGATGATTCAAAGATAATAAAATAGTCTGAAGATAGGATAAAATAAATTACGAAACGTCACAGAAAGTTAATAAATGAAATTTATAGAATAAAAAACTGTTTAGATTTTCATACACCTCATTAAAAACATCTCCCTTAGGACTTGTGAATACATCTTATAAGTCCGTCAAATATTGGTATATAGTAATTGAGATTGGAAGTTCTGAAGATCAATATTCCCAAACGTAAACTATTATATATATTTTTTTTTTTTTGGTTTATGATAAGAAGAATTATGGATGTCGTTGCTATGTATTGAACATAGCAAATAAGTTTTTTAAATTATTATGTGTCGAAAACAGAGTTGAATGAAACCGACTTCTGACTGCAAAAGTCGCATCAAGGGTAGAGAGTAGGTAGATAAGGGCCGATCTGTACACTTGGCCTCTGACGAAGGCTTAGACTAAAAACTAGTAAAGGGCTAAGTAACTGTTTGCTTCTAGGGTGTTACCAGTAAATTGTGAAGTAATAGAGTGAAGTTAAGAACCAATGAAAACCATCCCCATCCCACTCTGAATATTTCTATAAAATCTCCCGAGAAAGAAGAAGAGGTCTTATGTTGGTTTTCGGCCTTGAGGATAGGTCTTATATTTTTTTCCGGGTTGGGGACTGAAGCCTTGGCTCTACATAGACAATGGAGACGGGATCCTGGATCAGCAGATGCAGCGATGAAATCTACTAACTACACCACTTCACATACCATAATAGCTAAGTTGTAATTCACAATCGCAATGTTATAATATTTCATGACAATAATTCTGAAAACAGTCCTTCTGAAATTATACCTTCACAGTTAATTATTAAATTCATTAAATCACGTATTTAGTTTCTTATAAATATTGTTTGTATGTAATTCTTTATTAAACATAGAAATAAATTCAATTTTTTAGTAGAAGTTATTTCAATTCTGCCACCTATTTATATCGTGATGATCACAGGTAACGTTGGTAATCAGAAAGCATGATAAACACAGATCAGCCTTTGAGAAAAGAAATCCAATTAATTAATTCTGGACCAATCAATATATTATAGATCCAAATTTATTTGACTAGTTTTTATAATTAAATTTAATTAAATAATTCTGGATAATTATCATCAATAATCATCCGGTGGCATCCCGAATAAATTTCAACACCCCAAAACGTAGCATCGTATTGCTTTGAATTTCAATGGACTTCTTGCGAATTCCTTCAAAACTCAAATGACTGTCTAATTATTCTGTTTTTCTCTCTTCTAAAGAGCTAGTGAACTCAACAGATAACAAAAATAACTGACTCAAGGGTGTTTATTATTCTGGGATTTTGCGCGTTAAAGCTAAAAAAAAAAATTAAATAATAATCAACAAATGTACTATGTGTATTTATTTCAACTGGTTAAAATACATATCTCGAGGTCTTCGTGTGAGACCTTTTCCGGAATTCATCAACTTTATAAGGACGGACCTATGCGTCCTTTAATTATAGCTCTTGAAGTACCTAATTCATTAAAAGCTTAATGAAGTTTCGCTAATGAAGGAGCCCAAGTACCAAGAGAATGTAGTACCCCCCTGGAAGAAGGTACTTGGCGAGTGAAAGGACCCAGAGTATGGCCATTTCCGTCTAATTAGCGTGGGGGTCCATCAGGTGATAATTCGTTTAGCTAGCAGCTCTTCCCTCATATTGCCTCCTCCCCTTTCGGCATCCTCTCGTTAATTTACTTATGTACATGTATTACATATACATATATATATTATTTAAGGCGGATACATATCTCTTTTTTGGGTAGTTTATATTGGAGGTCCCATAAGTAGAGGAAAATATTTAAAAAGGTGATAGCAGACATCAATATCTACAAAAAAGTTTATATTAACAATTGCCCAATTTTCAGCACAAAAGTAGTAGTTTTGTGTCTTTTTTTAGTGTTGCCCAAATCGGTCTTGGTCTTGCACTTTGCAACTGTTGCAAGACCAAGGCCATGCCTGGTAAAAAAAATCGATTTTTTAAAATAAAAATGAAGAAAAAATAGTTACTAATACTTGAAAGTCCTAGTTACCATATGCTAATAATTGGTATAACCAATATAATTTTGCATTTAATTACTGTAATTTTTCATTCGGGCTTAGTTAGATTTCTCATATCTAAAGAATTACAGTAGTATCCCTATATCAATAAGCTAATAAGTAACAGCAAGACTGTTTGGAGACTCATGCGCAAGACCGAGACTGTTTTTACAATACCAAGACTCTTCTCAGTCTCGCATTTGGGCAACACTAGTTTTTTTGTTGACTAGGAAGCGATGACTTATAAATATTCGATTTATGTAATTAAACATTACTCCATAGTAAACTAGACAAATTTTACTTTAAAATAAAGTAAAGTTTATCATTGTTAGAACTATTTAAAGAGGATTATTGAGCGGGCAAACACAGCTCGCAAACTTTAAAAACAAGTCATAAATTATTTGTGATTTTTTTTTGGTTTTTATAACGCTTCAACTGTACTACATTTATCCTTACATTTTAATAAGATTTTAAATACAATTTAATTAAGTTTAGAGTTTAGGTTTATTGAGAAACATTTTGAATCCACCTCAAGTTGTGTAAAGAAATGATGCGATTTTCTATCCAGTCACCTGAGATGAATCTCCAAATTTTTTCCTAATAAACCTAAACTTAGTTAATATATAATCATAAACTTATTAAAATGTAATGATAACTATAGTGCAGTTGAAGAGAGATAAAAAAAATCACAAATAATTTATAACTTGTTTTTTTTTTTTTTTTTTTATTATTTCAATGGAATTTACAACTGTATTACATAGAGAATACAATAAGTAAATGAGAAATTTGTAACATGGCATGTACAACATGAAGAGAAACTACCCATTGGTAGAACTCAAATTAAAGTTCTATATTAGAAGATCCCGAGGCCATCTTCTTTTCAGACGCCTCGGAGGGTTATCAGGGATCGAGGAGGAAGCAAGGTTTGAAACGAGAGGATTCGGATGATTCTGCAGTTTGTTATGGAAGGAAAGGTATCTGGATTGGGCCAGATCGGAAACATATGGAACATTAAGGTCTTTATGGATGATTTTATTTGTGACAAAGTAAGGAGCGTTGAGGATTTTACGAAGGATTTTGGATTGTAAGGATTGGATACGAGAGGAATTCGATGGTTTAGTGGAGCCCCAAAGCTCAATTCCGTAAGTCCAAATAGGTCTTATTATTGTCATATATACGAGTCGTTTATAATTGATTGAAAGCTTAGATCGTTTGTCTAGTAAGTGCTGCAGTAGTCGAAAACGTCGGGCGGTTTCTAGTCGTTTCAGTCTGGTATGGGAACTTGTTTTTAAACTGAAATTTGTTTGTCCGCTCAATATTCCTCCTTAAATAGTTTTAACAATGACATACTCTACCTTATTTTAAAGAAAATTTTGTCAAGTTTACTATAGAACAATTTTCAATTACTTATTACTATAAATAAATTGAATATGTATAGCTTCCTAATAGACAAAAACGTGACCCGCATAAAAAAAATCTTAAATTTCCTACTTTCTGCTGGAAATTGGGCAGTTCTTTATATGAATTATTTCCAGATCTTGATGTCTACTATCAACCTTTTAAATATTTCCCTACTTACAACACACCCTGTATGTATTGTAAATAGAAAAATCCAAACTACAAAGCCACGAGTATCCAACATACAGATGAAGACGTTCTGCCAATTAAGACTTCATCAGGGCAGAAAAACCAAGTTCACATACATGAAGAAAGAAAAGATAAAATATATAACCGTAGAAATCTCAGGAAGCCATCCAAATGCATATGTACAAATAAATACATACTGAAGGAAAGAGAAGG